TATAATATTGTAAACAAACATCCAAACTCATAGACCTGGAAAGCAGATAGAAGGTCTTTGGGCATTCAAACCCAGAGACTATTCCTGATTTATAGTAATGTCTTGGTAGTTTCCACTGCTACCATTTATCCTCAGTTGGTGTCCATTTCCTAAACCCAGTATATGTGAAAGACAGCACTTTCACAACCTTTAGCCTTTACAGGATAATTCTACAAAAAACCAATAATCTAAGTAATGCAAACTCCTGGCCAAGAAATACCGAGAATATGATTTAGCTCTTTCTTCCATCCTCAGCAGAGATAAATAACATACAATTTTATCTAAAAAGAATAACAAAATAACACAATTTTAACATCAAATGCAAAAAAAATAAAAATGCTAGCATTCAATCCCAAAATAAATAAATAAACTACACAGCTGCTGGCAACTTGAATAAAATGATCTCAAAGAAAATCCAATGCTCCAAACAAATCATAAGGTGGTGTTGATCTGCTCTGTAACATCAGGAGATAGTTTCCCATTAATATTACTGGTTACAAGAAAATCCTGCAGAGAAAAATATAGCTTCTGGAACCCAGTCTGAAATACCAATAAAAATAGTTCCTTGCCTGCAGAGAAACATATGGAAAATTTGACTTATCATCACACACATATCAAACTAAGCATGATATTCTTTGTTGGCTGGCTTATTTATTTCTATTCAAATAGAAGACTTCTTGAAGCAAATTGAACTATCCTCTGCTTCAAAGCTTTTGCATTTCTCCAGATTCTCCAGGTACCAAGCTTTCTTTAGAAGTTGTTGGGAAAATGGAAGCCATCTCTCATCCCCTGGTTCCTCATCTATTTTATTTTATTTATTTATTTTATTTATTTATTTATTTGATTTGCCAATTGTTTACAAGATAATAAGTATAAGTGTATACATAGTTGTGAATACATGAAATGGGTACATATAAGAAAAATAAAAGAAGAATAAGAGAAACAATAGGACAGGGACGGTAGGCACGTTGGTGCGCTTATGCACGCCCCCTACAGACCTCTTAGGAAAGGGGTGAGGTCAATAGTAGACAGTCTAAGGTTAAAGTTTTTGGGGTTTGGGGAAGAAACTACAGAGTCCAGTAGAGTATTCCAGACATTGACCACTCTATTGCTGAAGTCGTATTTCCTGCAATCAAGTTTGGTGCGGTTAACTTTGAGTTTGTATCTATTGTGTGCTCTTGTGTTGTTATGGTTGAAGCTGAAGTATTCATTGACAGGTAGGACATTGCAATGTATGATCAGACCGAAGACGGCGTAATTCAAGGTTTTCTAGTTCTAGAATTTCAAGTCTGGTGGCATAAGGTATTCTACAACGAGTAGAGGAGTGGAGAACTCTTCTAGTCTCTTTTCCAGGTTTTTCAGAGTTCTGCTCAATTAGGGTTTTTTATGTCTCTGGCAGAGGGATGGGCATCTTGGTGTGCAAGCTCTCCCCTCATAAGAAATGTACTGGGAATGCCTCCTTTACAGCCTGCATGAAGGGCTGCCAAATGATAAAGAAACACCAAACATTCACAGCAGGCATGTTTGGTTCAGCGCTTGCAATAATAACCTGTGGACAGGGATTTACCAAGATTCTTGATTCTGGGGAAGTTTGTAAAACTTACAAGTGAATATTCTTACAAAACTGCTGTAAACTTCTGTGCTCAATGCACAGATCTACTGAAGATCCCTGATTTTCATGCCTTGTAAGCTCGGGTTGAACATCCATTGTTGAATGCTCCAGGGTAAAAATCAGAGGTGGAATTCAGCAGGTTCTGATCAGTTCTGGAGAACCAGTAGCAGACCTTTTGAGTAGTTCGGAGAACCGGTAAATACCCCCTCTGACTGGCCCCACCCCCATCTCTTCTCTGCCTCCTGAGTCCCAGCTGATTGGCTGGGTCTTCTTCTTCTTTTTTTTTTTTTACAAAGTTTTATTTGGGTTTTCACACACAAAATACAAGTAAAACATCTTTTTTTGAAAATAGCATGGTCCCGGGTTGAACTTCTTTATACAGACACAAAACTCAATTTCATGCTCCTTTTTGTATTCTATTATATATCTTATACTATTTTACATTTTCTATATAGTTTTTCCCCTCTTTTAATTTTCTCAATTTTATTTTGAATCTCATCTCAGTTCAAATCATTATATCTTATATGTTTTTGTCTGTTCTGTTTCAATTTCATATTATCTTTTCTCATTAAACAAATTTTCTCCTGTAGTTACTAATTGGAGTATGACACCTTTATATCTTTAAATTACATCCATTCAACTCTTATTTAAACTTCAATATATACCTTAAGTTTATGACCTTCAATATAATACATAATACATAACTTCCAATCGAATTCTGCTTGGTACATTCTTATAATACACACTATATTCTTTTTTTTTAAAAAAAAAGATTGTAAATATATGTAATTATAAACCCTCATTCCATTCCAGTTCAGTTCTATCATTAATAATCATTAAAATCTTAACATCTTTAACACTTCTTTTCAATTAAATATCATACTTCCTTAAAAACACATATAATCTCCATAATTAATTTTTCCCTTATTTCTCTTCACATGTTTTATAAATCATAAAATATACCTTTTGTTACATTTATTTATTGACAAGCATTCCACTGAATTACAATAGCTATTTTATCAGACATTTTAATCATACATTGTTTCATATTTTCTAAAATTATTTCTGCTTCTAATATAACCATACTATCTTATGTACGTTTGCAGAATCCCTTTTTCCATTAAGTTTTCACCCATTATCTCTAAATAGGCCCTTTTTCTCTATATTTTGCTTCTGTCCTTTATAACTTCTTTTCCTTTCTTTCTTCCCTCTCATCTTCTCTTCTTTTTACCCCCTTGTCTCTCTAGTTCTAATTCTCTCTTCTGCGTTTCCTTCTTCTGTTGCTTTCTGATTTTATACTTATTTTTCACTCTATTTTTTTTTGGAGTTGTTTTTCCCAATCTTAAACTTTCCATTCTCTTCCCCCCCCTTTCCTTCCCCCCCTTTCCTCCCCCCCCCATCTAAGATTACTTGTTCATTAAAGGTGGCTTCTTCTTTGTCGCAATCTTCTTGTTCTGCAGACATTTCTTGTTGTTTCTCATAATTCCAAATCTCCATTTCTACAAACTGAAATACGAAGCCAAAAGAACCTCTCCCTTCTTGTGCATCTTCTTTGTACTTTTTAAGTTCCATTTTCAGTTCTTCTAAAAGTGGAGCCATTTTAAACAGTTTTAAACAACCACCCAATTGATTTTAGTCATTCAAAACAATAACCAAGAATCCAGAAATCATCAAGTAATCCAGATAGACCTGACTTATATCTTCTTATTTCTTTTTCGACTTTCTCTTCCTGGGGTTTTTGTTGCGATATTTCAGTTAGAATGTATCTTTTGGAAGTCTTGTTGAGATTTTGCTATAAGTTCTTTTTTAATTCCAGGCAATCTCCTCCCTTCCAGATCCTGCCCTTTTATTCTTTTTCTTTCCTTTCCTGTTTTCAAAAGCTTTTAATTATCCAGAAATCTTTATTATCCCTTTGACTTTTTATTTTCAGCATTAAATGCCTATTGATGTCAAAGTGGATTTTTTTCCAATTTCTTACTTAAGTCTCTTAGCTGTCAGTATAGGAAAAGGAGAAAACCAAATCTTTTCCCTTTTCTCTCTCCTTCGCAGCTTAAAAATCTTCTTAGGGAGCAATGTTATTGTTTTTTAACAGTTTCAATTCCAGGGTACCTTATTTGTTGCTTTTGCTGTTTGACCCAGTCAACCAAAACTTTCTCTTCTTATCTTCCTCTTGCACATTCTTTTCCAGTCGAGTTCTTTGTGGTGGCCATTTCTGACCACCGCTGCAACTGCCTTTGGGAAAGGGAGTAATTGCCAGCTGGGGAGGAGAGATGTGGCTGGCAGTCTCCCCCCTCTTCACCACCTCTACGGGGTGGCTTAGCCCCGAAACCAGCCGGCTCAGGGCGCTCCAGCAGCGTGCACGGATTGAAGCCTCGCAGAGACGAGGTTTCGGTCTGTCGCTGAAGAAGCTCAAACCGGGTCTTCTTTTGTTGCCCAATGGAGCTGGAAAGCAGGTTAGTGGGGTGGGGAGGGAATGGGGATTTTACAGTGTCCTTCCCCTGCCATGCCTACCAAGCCACACCATGCAGGGATGGGAATTCAAATTTTTTAACAACTGGTTCTGTGGGTGTGGCTTAGGTGGTGGGCATGGCTTAGGTGGTCATGTGACTGGGTGGGCATGGGTTGGTGGTCATGTGACTGGTTGGGCATGGCCAACTCAACATCACTCACATCGAGGCACGCATCTCCTCGCCTGGCCTCTCATGACTGTGGGGATGCTGCAACAGTCGTAAGTGTGAAAAATGGTCATGAGTCACTTTTTTCAGTGCCATTGTAACTTTGAATGGTCACTCCACACAAGCAAAGTACCAGCAAAGGAGGGGGGGAAAAACTCCAGGGATGTTCCTGAGACAGGAAGTCTAGTCCTGCCAAGAATGTAATAAGGGTTAATGGAGAGGCAGTTTCTGTAAGCAACACCAGAATGTTTCCTTCCTGCCTTCCTTACAGGATTAGGCCAGTAATTTCTTCTAACAACCGGTTCTCCGAACTGCTTAGAATGTTAACAACTGGTTCTAGCAAATAGGTGCGAACTGTACAGAATCCCATCCCTGACACCACACCCATCAAGCCACGCCTAAAGAACCAGTAGTAAAAAAAATTGAATCCCACCACTGATAAGAATGTATTTAAAAATACTGGATCAATTAAACAGCAATAACCAGCTCATTAATTTGAAAATATTAAACAGACTTGAGCACAAATTTCAAAACATGTTTGGATGCTTTCTAGGTGACCTACTCTGCATTAGAGGTGATATTCTCAATTCTAAAATAGATATTTATTGCACATGCAAAAATACAGAACATATATGGACATGTCATATGACCTCTGACCACATGGAAAAACTTACCAGCCAGTACTGTTCCTGTCTTTGGTGCCGGAAGTAGGCTCCTGCGGGCAATTGGGGTGCTATTTGATGCCTGCAGGGAAGTTCTATTGGCCCCCTTAAGTGCTTCTTTAGATGGTTCAGCTGCCTTGAGAATGATTTGCTCTTCATTTCCCAGGCTTGAACCTGCAGGAAACCAAAAGCATCCCAATTAGAACTGCATTAAAAATAGATGCATGCCTTGTGCAGAGAAATGATAACATTATTAATGTCATAGGCAAATCAAAAAGCCTTCTGGTATTTTAAATGATGCTTGTCCTATGCATCTGTGGTGAGAGGATTGACTCAGTTCAGCTCTGTAAATTTTAAATTGTTTTTTTTTTTTAAAGGTACCATTTTAAAAGGAAAAATGCTGCTTGCATAAAAAGAAGAAAATAGGAACTGGAGGTAATGACGTGTCAGCCCTTCCTAACCTGTTCCACTCTATCATCTTCACAGGGCATTGCAAGCAAAGAACGAAAATTCAGATCATCCAGATGAGAATAAATTTGGTAAAATAGCTATTAAAATTTGTATACCATCAGACTCCCAGGAACTTTGTGCAGTTCACCAAAAACAGAGAACAATAAAATACAGGGAATCATTGACTTAAAACCAGGGGTGGGCTGCTGGAGGTTCACAGGGGTTCAGGAGAGCCCCTAGCTGAGTTTCTGTGCTGTTTGGAGAACCCTAAATCCCACTCCTGGCTGGCCCTGCCCACCTCGCCTCTCCCAGGAGGCCCCATGTGGCCCGTTTTGGATGCAGATAAGTGTAGGGAGCGTGCGAAGACTCGAGGAATGAGAACAACGGACCTCCTGGAAGTTTGGGAGGGCTGGAAAAGGGCCTGTTTCCAGCTTCCAGAGACCCTCCAGAGCCTGGGGAGGGTTAGGGTTAGGGTAAAGCCTCTGGAGGCCAGGGAGGGCAAAAATGCCTCCCCCGCCGTGGTGGAGGAGGCCAACTAGGCCACGCCCACTATGGCCACACCCATCCAGCAACCTGACAGAAAACCCGTTGCTAAAAATTTTGAGGGCCACTGCTGCTTAAAACCATAACTGAGCTCTCAATTAGTCATAAATTGGAAGCCAAGTTATGAATGAATGAAGTTACGATCATTTTTTAATGGATACCATGGTTGTTTTAAGTGATTGTCACTTTCATTAAGCAAATCCATTCTCCCCAAGGAGTGTTTTTTTTTGTTTTTTGTTTTGCCAGAAATCAGAACACCAGCAAAGAACATTGCAAATTGCGATCACAGGATGCTACAAACTGCTATAAAGGTGAATTGGTTGCCAAGTGCCCCAGAGATATAGCCCCGTGATCCTAACTCTGAAACAGGCTGTAAGTCTGTTGCTGCTGCCAAAAAAGCCAACACAGTCTTCGGCTGAATTAACAGAGGAATAGGATCAAGATCATGTGAAGTGTTAATACCACTTTACAATGCCTTGGAAAGACCGCGCTTGGAATACTGCGTCCAGTTTTGGTCGCCACGATATAAAAAAGATGTTGAGGCTCTGGAAAGAGTGCAGAGAAGAGCAACGAAGATGATTAGGGGACTGGAGGCTAAAACATATAAAGAATGGTTGATGGAATTAGATATGTTTAACTTAGCAAAAAAGAAGGACTAGGGGTGACATGACAGCAGTGTTCCAATGTCTAAGGAGTTCCATAAGAAGAGGGAGTCAACTTATTCTCCAAAGCACATGAAGGCAGGATAAGAAGCAATGGATGGAAACTAATCAAGGAGAGAAGCAACCTAGAACTAAGGAGAAATTAAAACATTACCCAGAAAGGGTCCTTAATCACAGAGAGAAGGTGACAACTTAGTGGTCTCCAAAAATTTGTAGTAGTCCTCCTTTGATCAATGGTCATGCTGCCCGGGGAAAATGGAAGCTCCACTAGGGAGGACACAATGTTGCTTGTCTGTGTATTTCACAAAGTTTACAGCTTCCTTTAAAAGGAATCTTAATTGAAAATAGAGCATCTAAAATCTATGTACATTTCTGAAAACACATTTGACCTTTAACCAATAACATTAAAAATTGAAAGCAAAAGGAATCCAACTATGTTCAAAGGGGAAGCAAAATCACAAGCTAATGAGTAATCAGGAACAAGAGTAAATCTTTTTAATGTTTAACAATGATACTTTATTGCAGGATAATAATCATGCACCATGAATTAACAGCCAGTAATTAAACCTGGTCCTCTTAAGTTATAATTGAGATTTTATAACAGTCTTGTTATTTACCTACCCCCACTTAGATTTAAACAGCACAACAATAATTTATCCTAGGGAACTGGGCCTCACACAGACAGGTTGTGTGGTATTTTCAAGCTCCAAATAGGTTTCTTGGAACAAATTACATACAGTTCCCTGACAGCTCTTCAAATAATTTGGTACCAGGTTTCTTAACTAGTCCTAGATAATAGTAGGGGATTTAATTTACTGTGCATGAATATATCAGTACTGGCTTCTGAAGGATGATTTAAAAAAAAAAAAATCCAGGCTATGAATTATCTTTACAAGACCAACCTGTCCTGGTGGTCAAATGAGCAACTTGCATCTATACCTCAATTTCTACAACCAAAATGTTTCCACGGTTAGCCTTGGTGATGATTTTTACCACCCACCTAAACACTACATCACTTAATGACGTATTGGCAGCCATCCTTGAAAATTTGGTTGGTTGCTTTCCTTCGGTGATTGACAGTTAGGATTCTGCAGAGCAGATGACAAATTAAATGCTTTTCTCTGAGGGCCTTTCAAAGCTATAGTAGTCCATATCCCTGATTAGTACCTTTCTTGCTGCAGTAAAACCGATAGTGTGCCTAGCGTAAGGATAGAGCAAGGTGTGCTTAGAACCAAGTATTGTATATGAAATAGAGGTGGACACCACCAGTGATGGAAATTGCTCTTGGGTAATTGTGCAGGAAAACCTTGCTTATAATATTTCTCTCTCTGAAGACCTTTCAGACTGTTGTTTTGATAGGTGATACTCCTTATATAAAGGCAAGAGACAAAAAGCAGTGGGCAGAAAACAGTGTTCTGACCCAGGCTTCGTAAACCGTAATTATTCACAAACTTGTTTTTTTAAAAAAACAACCTATTTTATTGCAATGCTGGGAATTGTTTTCATTCCCAGCCGGAATTAATCTCAAACAGTCCCCCAAAATAAGCATACACCTTTCAGTTCTGTGAAGTGCGGCCAAAAACAGAAGTATCAAATTAACTAGAAAAGAAACCAACCGAAGTACAAAAAAAACCAACTGAAGTACAAAGAGCTTCAATGATGACTCAGAACCGATCGAACTACTTTGCTTCCTGCAAAGGTTTCATCATCTTGGCCTGGCTTTTATCCCTTATGGGAGGGACAATCACCTCCCAGCCTAACTCCGGAGTCGCCTCTTTTGTTTCAGCTGCTCTCGCCTTCTAGCAGTTCTGCGCACACACACACTGGGAACAGGCTCCCCTGGGTCCTCTGCTTCGCTGATGATAGACTCCAAAGGCTCTGAAGGCAGCACCCCACTCCCAGATGGACCTGGCCCTTCGCTGCATCAGACGCAGGACCCTCATCCGAGTCCTCTCCAGACTCCCTGACTGGTCCTCGTTCTTCCCCACTGTCTGATTCCGCTGCCGTCTGCACAGGCTGCCGGCGAACCACAACAAACAGCAAGAGAAATGAGACAAAGAAGATAGTAGAATGTTGTCCTTTGCCAGCTGAGGGACGACACTCAACAACGTCTGTCTTTGCATGACAATTTCTGTATGTCATCATCTGTTTCATCTTAGATAGGTTCCCCACAGAAATCTTAGACTATTTTAAGGCATTGCTTGAACATACTAAGTTTGTTTGGACAGTTTTATCTACAGGTTGTTGTTTTTATTTTTGCTTGTTTTTCTCTGTCCGATATTTTTAAATATTCAATTACAATAGAAGTTGCTTTTAAGAATAAAATGTTCTGTGATTATTTGCCAAGTAAAATGTGTCAGATACTTTTACTGAAATCTCCTAATTCTTGGCACCCATTCTCTTAGTGTAAATTTATTATACAGAGAACATTTCAATTTACAAATCAGGCTTCCTTTCAAATCAGAAGTCATTCTATTTGAAGTATGAGGTGTCAGGGGAAATTACATCATCTCCTCCGAGTCTTCTGACAAGACTCTTTAGGTACTTAAAAGAAGAGAATCTTTTCAAACTATTTCATACAAAATAGAAAAAAAATAAGAACCTTTGATAAACAATGTAAGTTTGAGTAATTAATATTTATTGTGAGAAGAAAAAGAAGGCTGGCTGAAATATGACCTACTTATTTACCAAGAAAGAATATATTAGAACAGGGGTCCCCAACCGCCGGTCCGCGG